GGGCTTCGCCTGGGTGGTTTGGAGAGGCTGATCTGCAGAGACAGAGGCTCCGGCCTCTGTGGGGCTGTGCCCCCCTTGCCTGCTGGGCACCGGCGCCAGTTCTGCTGATCGGTGGGTATGGCTTCCCCCACCAGGCAGCGCTGACTCAGCGTCTGAAAGGTGGTTCCCACGGGCCCATGTCTCTCTGGGGGCCAGAGGACAGGCCATCCATGCCCCACCTCCAAGTGGGTCAGCGCCCAGAGCCACTGGCAATTAGGGCTGAATGGAGGCTAAGATTTCTAGTCTACCCACCCCTGCCAACCAGCAAGGCCTTGGGTGGTCCTTTCTGCTGTCTAGCCACCTGCCACACCATCTCCGGCCTGGCTTTCCACTCCCCAAAGTTCGAGGGTACCACAGTGATCAGTACTCTTTTTATTTTTAAAACAGTGAAAAGAAAAATAAATATCTTTGGAGAATAAAAGTACAGGGGTGGGGTGGGATAGGGGGGTGGGCTGGAGACTTGGCGGTGTCCTGGCTTTAGTGGTCTTGATGGGGTGCCGGGGCCTGGGATCTTCAGGCCCGCTCCTCCCGGGCCAGGCCCTGCCCAATCCCCGCTGGGAGGTCTGGGGGCTCCGCCAGCCTCGCCTGCCCGCGGCTCCCAGGCCGGGCCCTGCGTCAGCGGAACCCGCGCGCGGGGATTAGACCCCAGGCGCCCGCCTGCGCCCGGAGCTGCGTCGGGAGGGGCGGGGCGGGTGCTCCCCAGGGGCTCTTCCGCCGGCCGGCCCGGCTCGGTGCCAGGGCCTCAGCGGTGCCCCATGTCCTCCATGCCCACGCGGCCCCAGACGCCCAGCACGAAGCTCTCGATGTCGCACTCGTTGTCGCCGCGCAGGATGCGAAAGTGACCCCTCTCGCCCCAGGCTGGGCCCCAGGAGTTGGCCGCCGTCTGGGAATGAGGAGGGGCGGTGAGGGGGGCTGTGCGTGGGGGGAGGGGGAGGAGGCAGCGGTCGCAGGGCACCCCGCGCAGGGACTCACCCAGTATTTGAGCGTCCTTCCATCAGGCAGTGTCTCCTCTCCCCACCTGGCGGGGGGCGGGGGGCAGAGCCATGGAGGGAGAAGGGAGCTGATTCCACCTGCTTTCAGGGGCTGGAACCCCAGGGGCCTTCCCCTTCCAGATCCCTCTCTCTACCTCCCTCAGTCTCCACCTCTGGAAGTTTGTGTACTCACACCCATGTGGGGGAGGGTGCCAAAGGGATAACCAAAGGGGGTGAACAGAAAGGGGGAGAACTTGGGCCTCCCTGCAGGGCCCCACATCCTGGGGACCAGTTCTCTGGGATCTCACACATCTGCCTGCCCTCCCTCCTCACTTGGGGAGCCAGGGAGGGGTGGGTGCCAGGAACCACAAGGAAGAGACTCCAAGAACATGGGTACTTTGGAGGACCCACACTCCCACTGCAAAGGACATTTCATGGTATGGACCACTGAAATCAGTGACTGAAACATCTCTGGGTATATCCGGTGGGGAACCGAAGACTGGGGATGGGAGTCCGTGGGTCAGGCGGAGTTGGGGTAGGTGCTGAGATGGGGAGAGGCTGAGCCACCCCTGGGATCCGTGTCTGTCTTTCAAGGGAGTTATTTTATCCCCGTGTGTAAGGAAGGAACAGTTCTTAGAAAACCTTAAAAGGCCCCCACCTCTAGGTGTGACCGGGGCAAACCCCTCCTCCTTTTATGTCTTGGTTTCCTCCTCTGCGAAATGGGGCTTCGCAGAGAGATGGTACGGATTCCAGGCTGGCTCGGAGCCCCTGGTGCAAGCCCTGCTCCCCCAGCCCCTCTGTCCCCCCGAGCCCCTCTGCCCGCCCCCAGCCCCTCACCCTGTGATCTTGACCGAGTGGGTCCCATGCCGGCGGTACCGCTCTGGCCTCCCAAGGCTCACTGGCGTGTGGCTGTAGATGCCACCCTGGTACAGAAAGAAGTCCTCGTGCACCTCCATGAGAGCTGTGGGCCGAGGTCAGAGTAGGGCCGGCTCAGCCCAGCAGCACAGGTCTGGAGATGCGCGCCCAGGCCCATACCAAGACTGTAAGTGCCCCCCACAGGGTGCTGCCCGCGGGGAGGGGACCGGGCCCCCCTGACTCCCAGCCCCAGTGGATTTGCTGCTCCGTGCTCCACAGACCACTTGTGCTGCTGTGCTGTGTCCAGTCTCAAGCAGACACAAGCTTCTGGAACCAGGGGGCAGGATGAGGGGCATTTACCTTGGACAGGGCCATTCTCCATCAGCTCCTTCATGATCTCCTTCTCCTGGAGGGTTGGGAGGGGGGAGGAGAGTCTCCAGCAGGGGTGAGGCTCTAGCCTCTGGCCAACCTCCCAGCTCCCCCGCCTCTGCCCCCTCAACCAAGCACAAACTTACGCTGGAGCCGAGGCGGTAGGCCGGCGTGACCTGGTAGATGTCATTGGCATGGGCCTGGCTACTGGGGCACCGGGCGGTGGCCTGGCGCTTGCCCCGACCCATGGCCCGGCTGTGCATCATACAGCGGGGTGCCGGGCCAGCCTCGTCCTGCTCCCGGCCCACGAACGGGTAGCAGTGGTCAGACACGAGCCTGGAGGAGAAGCAGGAGGGAGCGAGGGCAGTGAGGCTGACGAGCATGGCCCAGGCCCTTCCTGCGGGTTGCCTTCCTGAGGTTCCGGCCTCCCCTCGCCTCCCCTGCCCGCACCCTCTGCTGCTCACCCTCGACGTCGCAGGAACCACCAGGCACCGTCGAGACGCCCCCCGCGGCAGCCCCTCTGGTTGTGGGTGTCACAAGACAGCAGGTTCTGGGGCGACAGGACAGGAGTCATATGCCCCAGAGAATGGATTGAGACGCGGTCGGACGCCACGGCTGGTGGGGGGAGGCAGAAGGGCCGTCAGGCGGCTCAGGCCTGGGCTGTCCTTTCCCACCGCGCCAGCCTCCGCCCTTGGCCGTACCTGCCGTGGAGAAGGCCCAGGAGCCAGCACAGTTGCCCTGGTCTAGAGGCTCATGGATCAGGTTGGGCCACTTCTCAGAGGCCTCGAAGGCTGTGGGCAGCACTTCCCCCGGGCGCAGCACTGTCTGCAAAGCAAGAGTCACTCCGTCTGCCTCCTGCCTCTGGCCTGGCCGACCCCTCAGGGGCCCGTTGCCTTTGAAGGGCCACCGAGAGTCCAGGGCCTTCTGCGGTTTGTTCCTTGAGTATTCCTGCTGCTGAGGGATTCCGGCAATCTCCACCCTGACTCGGTGGAAGACCCAAGCACCATTTAGTGCCTCTCCCACGTCAGGTGGGGGTGACTAGTGCCGTTGCACAGATGAAGCCTGCAGGGAAGTGGCCAGGCCAGGGTCACCCACTTTCCATTCTTAACCCCTGCCTCATTCTTCCTCTGCGCCTTCTGTTCTGACACTTCCTTCTTCCTACCAGGACCTTGGGCTTCAGGCCCTAAAGGGCAGGGGAGGGAAAAAGGAGTAAGGTCCTGTGACCGGGCAGGCGGCCAAGGCAAATAGAGGAGGCAGAAAATAGCAGAGGCCCAGGGGAGTGAGGGCAGGGGCAGGGTCTGGTCATCCTAGCCTTGAGCCCAAGTCCCTCTGCAGGGAGGGCTGCTCTGGCCGACTGCCTCCTCCCTACCCAGCGCTGAGGGACAGACCCTGCAGCCTGTGCCCCCGCCCTGACCCCCCGAAGTTCCCCTTCCTCACCTTCTGACTGTTCCAGGTCTGGTTTCCCTTTCTCCCCGTAGAGGGTCCCACTGGTAGGAAGGGAGAAGCCCTCTCCACCCTCGGGGTTCCACTGAGCTGGTATTTGTTTCCGAGAATTCTGGCTCGCTAGCCAGAGCACTATCTGTCCTTCCCTTCCCAAAACACCAAGGTGACCTCCTGGCCCTTGGGGCCTGACCCAGCTGTACTGGAAGGAATAGCATTTTTCCCAGGCTGGGGAGGCCACCAAGGGGCTCGGGCTGGGACCACAAAACTCAGAATCTGAGCATCAATTCTTCCTGCGCAGCACATCTTGTTCTGGGCAGGAACCTAAGACCCAGAGAAGGAGAGTGATTTGTCCAGGAACACACAGCCTATTGGAGGGCGTTAGGCCCAGGCCCTTGAAGGAGCAGGGTGCAACGTGCCAGGGTTCCTGGGGTCCCAAGCGATGGGGAGATGGCAGGACTGTGGGCAAGGATGGACTTACGTGAATCTCATTCATATTGGTGACAGAGGAAGAAGGGCGGATGGTACCCAGGCGGTAGCGAATGCCCTCATCCAGGGTCATGCCCCAGAAGGCACTGTGGTTCCCAGCCCGCCATCTGAAAGAGAAGGGATGAAAGTCACAGCCCTTGCATGGCTGGGGCTCCTGGAGGTACGTGCACGTGGGTGGGAGAGACGCATACTGGCTAAGCGTCCACGTGAATGAGCTCTGAGTGAGGGTGTGCCTGGCGGCAGAGGCATCTCGGGGAAAGGTTTGTGTGTCTGTGCCCAGTGGGGACATGTCCAGGGCCTCTCACCCGTAGTTGCCCTGATTGATGGCGTTGATCATGTCTTGGTCCACCAGGCATGGCTCCTGGTCACACTCCCACTGCCCTTGCTCCTGGCAGGTGCTAGAAGAACAGGAGGGAAGGAAGAGGTGAGGGGCGCTGGGCATCCTCTGAAGGGAGGGGGCCTCAGAAGTCACCACAGGCCTGCGATTCTGTGCCAGCGATTATGGAAGAACCCCTAGATGGTCCTGTTCAGACTGGTGGCTCTCAATGTCAACTTCAAGTTCACAGTTCTCAAGTTTATATCTGCTGCCCAGATCTCTCCAGATCCAAGAATCTTGCCGCTATACAGTACCACCATTGGGTTGTCTAACAGCACATCCCGGACCGCATTTCTGATCCCCCACTCCCACGCCTGCTCTCCCTACAGTCCGTGGAAAATGTCCATCCTTCCTGAACCTCAGGCCAAGAGCCTGGGAGTCACCCTTGACTCCTTCCCTCACGTGCTGATTGGCTTCATTGGCAAATCCTGTTGGCTTTGCCTTAAAAACACATTCAGAATCCAAACCACGTCTCATTCGTCCTGCAGCCGTCATGGGCCAGTCACCTTTCCCCTGGATTCTGCTGCAGCTTCCCCATTGTTCTCCCCGCTTCTGCCCTGCACCCCCACTTCAGTATATTTTTAACACAGCTGCTGGATGACCCTGTTCAACCCAAGTCATGTCATGCCATCCCCTTGCCCAAAACCCTCCCTTGGCTTCCCATCACAGACTAAGAGCCAAAGTCCCTGCCCTGCTAACAAGATTGTCCCTGCACGATCTGTCCTCCTGTCCCCTTGGTGACCCCCTCCTCCAAGTCCTGGCTCCTGAGGCCCCAGCCAGACCGCTCCCCTGACTGTTCACAACAGCTGTGCTCCCTGCCCCAGGACCTTTGAGCTGCTCTTCTCCCCACATCCCCGAGGCTCACCCTTACTTCATTCAAGTCTTCATTCAGAAATCACCTTCTCGGAGGGGCCTGCCCTGGCCACCTTCCTCTCCTGCTTTCCTGTTTTCTTTTTTCCTTAGCATGTCGTTGTTACCTGACACACTATATATTTAGCTCTTTGCCCTCTTTATACCCGCTTCCTCATAGACACTAAGGTCCCGGTGGGCAGGGTTTGTTTGGTATCTTTGGTGCCTAGAAAACTAAACCCAGCACGTAGTAGGCACCCACGAAATATCTATTGGATGCCTGAGTGACTGAGGCAGAGTCGTGAAATGACTAAGAGCACGAATCCTGAAATTCAATTCCCGGGCTCTGGCCCTCGCTGGAGAGTCATGTGACCTCAGGTGAGTTATTCGAAGTCTCTCCCTCCCTCCAAGTTCTCGTCTGTAAAATGAGGACATGAATCATCCCCCCCTTCCAGGGATTAATGGCAGCCTTTTGTAAAGCCATTAGCACAGGGCCTGGCCCATCTTGGGTGTCGAGAATCATTATCTGCTCTTAGTGTTCCCATTCCAGGAGCCCCCGGACGCCCCGTCTCTTGAATTTCAGATTCCTATCCACTGGGTGTATCGCAAACTTAAAATGGCCCAGACTGCCTCCCCCGCCAAAGCTGCTCCTCCCCGAACATCCGCAACTCACGACACAGCGCCTTATCCACCCTGGGGGTTCAAACCAGAACTCCAGGTGTGTGGCGTACCCCCATTCCCGCGCCCGCCATCAGCAGATCCTGGGACGACACACCATGAAAGGTTCTGGATTCACTTGCCTCTCACCGCTCCACGGCCATCACCCTCCTCCAGTCCCTTATCACCTGTCACCTGGACCACGGCAATGGCTTCCTACCCAGGCTCCCTGCCTCTCTACACCCCGCTGCATACCCCGCAGTCCATCCCCAGAGAGATCTCTCAATGACATCTATCAGATTGTCTGCCTCTGCGTGGCTCCAGCACGGCTTGCGAGACCCACGGACGTGGCCTGCCCCTCCTCAGGGCTTCTGTCCCCAGGTCACAGCTCCAGCTGCAGTGAGATCTGTCCTACCTCCCAGCCTGCCCACGAGCTGCTCCCCCCCTCCTTCTCTTCTGGTCTGATACCTTTCTGGTATCGGCATAACCATCTCCCTTCCTGAGTGGCCTTCCCTTGCCCCCACTGCACTCTAAACCTGGATCCCCCTTTATTCCCTTTCACCGTCACATCTGTCACAGGTTGTAAGATGTTTATTTGTGTGGGGGCTCCTTCGTCATTAAACCAGAAGCTCCACTGCAAGGACAAGGGCCGTCTGCCCCATCTGGCTGCATCCACCGGTCCAGCACAGTGCCTGGCACATAGTAGGTCTTCAATAAATAGGTGTCGACAAACAGGGAATTCTGTGAATTCTACGATGCTTTTACAAGCTCATAACTCTGCTATTAGAAGATGCTAAACTGCCTTCTTCCCTTGTTGCCTTTTAAGGAGCCTCAAGGGGAACAAACCCAGTATGGCTGGGCTTTTCAGTCCCAGGAGTGGGCGGGGGCACTTTCAGGGAGGGCTGGAGAAGGGCTGGAGGAGACTGCGTGGGAGGGGAGGCTCTCCTCATGTTCCCCTTCCTTCTCTTACTCTCTCGAAGCATTCCTCGAGGTCTCACGCATCCTGGACGGCCCACAGGCATTGCCCCACACCCTCACTCAGGTGTCAAGCGCAGGGAGCCGGGCCACCCAGTGCGGGCAGTGGGCTGGTCACTCTTTTCCTGCCACCTCCCCCTTTGCCCCCAGGGCTGCCCAAGCAGGTCTAGACTGGGCTGGTGGCAGCAGGTTCCAACATTCCAGAGGGGCCCAGGGTGGCCAGGCCCCAGGGATAGGAGTGGGAAAGAGGTTAACCCATCAATGCCCAGAGGCATCCTAATCAGGAGCAGCAGGATCATGTAGGCCAGCTCAGTCTTTCTGAAAACACACACATGATTCACACACACTCACACCACACGCTCACACCACACACACACACACACACACACACGCATTCTCTCAGCCAGATGCACGCTGAACCTCACGAGTCCCCACTCTCACTGTGACCCAGCACCCCTCACACGGGTGAGGCAATGGAAACAGCTTATGTGTAATACATTCCAAAAAGTTTCCTCCTCCCTGGGGCCTCTCAGTCCCAGACAAAGAGGCCATGGGGTGGAGTGGGTGCAGGGCCTCCTCCTCAAAGCCACAGGGTCCCCATTATTTCGATCAGGCGTTCAAGGCTTCCTACCCAACCCCTCTCCACTTCCCATCTCAGGACCCAGACTAGAGTAGGGAGGCCCCCCTGACCCTTCAACCTCCCACTAGAATGGTGGGGAGGGGAGGAAAAGGGGCCACATTCCAGGGAAGGCCCTGCTGCAGGTTGGCTGGCCTCCAGCTCAGCCATCCCTGACCCTCATCCCGTCCAGGGCAGCGGATGCTGCAGTCAGAGCTTTCCTTCCTGGCGCCCCCTTCTCTGGATTCTCCCGTGACACCAAGAAAGGTTGGGAGGGGCAGTAGCCCAGCCAGAGCCAGAAGGGACAGGGAACCTCTCCCAGCTCAGGGGCCACACCTGGGGCCAGGCATCCGTGGCTGACCGCTCCTGGGGAATGCTGTTAGAGTGTTGTTTCATTAGCTGACACGGGCAGGGTAAAAATCCCCGTGTTACAGACAAGGAAACAGGCTCAGCAAATAAGTGACAGGGATAGAACTGGAACCAAGATTGTGGGCCACGGGGTCCACAAGGCAAGCCCCCCTCCAAGCCACAAACACTCACCAACGGTTACAGTTGTCCCAGTAGGTTCCCAAGACTGGATAGATGCGACTCCCATGCGTACATCCTGGGGGCAGGGAAGAGGAGAAGAGAAATGGAACCAGGACCAGAGACGATGGGCTGAGAGGGCCAGGTCCTCAGAAGTCAGGTGTCCCGAATCCTCCAAACACACACACACACACACACGCACACACACGCACACGCGTGCACAAGCGCGGCCGAACCCTCACTGAAACTGGTCAAACTATAACTTCTTAAGACCTCTCCTGCAGGGTCACATACCAATTGCTACCTGGGAAGTTCTTCAGTGACCCCAGCTTGGATCCCTCTTGCTTCACTTGGATGCCAGCCACAACATTCCTTGGAGCCTTTGCCATTTAAATGACTTGAAAGTTGGAGATGGGGAGTGGGAGTGGCATGGGGAAGCCGAGGCCCAGAGAAGGCAAGTGACTCCCCTAAGATAACACAGCACTTTGGGATGACAACCAAGGCCTTCGGTCTCTCACCCACAGGCCCGCAGAACTGGGGGAAGGGATTCAAATGATTCCTCTGTGGGACAGGGACAAGGGCAGGGGAAAGGATGGTGACATGAGCTGAAAGCAGGAACGGATTCGCCCCCACCTCCCAGGTGTGACCAGCCACCTCAGGTAAGAAGAGAATCGTGAGCAAAGGCAGAGGAATGGCTAAGATGAGCCTGACCAACGCCTGAGGGCTGTATCAGCCTGGGGTGAATCAGTGGGTGTGGCCAGCACCTTCCGGGTCTGGCATGGAGGCAGGACTGGGAGAAAGGGCAGGAGGCTGCCTTTCTCCTGGGCCAGCTGGGAATCCCACTGACCAAGGATCTTCTCTTTTCCAGTCTTGCTGGAAAGATTCAAGTTAGACCAGAGCGGGGCTTCCCAGAGGCACGGACAGTGGGGCGGGGTCTCTCCCAGATTCTACAAAGCCTCCCCTGGAAACGTCAGTGCATCAGCCTTGCTCCTGAGCCCCGCTGGGTCTGGGGCTGGCGAAGCGACCCACCCTCCTGGCCGTCTGGTGCCCACCTTGGATGGGGGGGAAGGGGGGTGGCACGCCGAGGCAGAAGTCCCAGAAGTCAGGGCAGCAGTCGGAGACGGTGCGGTTGCAGAAGAGGTCACAGTAACAGGTAGCACCCAGGTAGGGCAGGGCGCAGTCGTCGGCCCGGCCGCGGCAGCACAGGTCCCGCTCCTGGCAGTACCGGCCGCCCGCATCCCGGATGCCCCGCAGGTGCAGGCCCGGCGCTAGCTCGCGGCGCCCACGACCCCGCTGGGCATCCGGGGCCGACTCGCCAGCCAGCAGCAGCAGCAGCCCCAGTGGACATGGCCACATGGCGCCTCCTGGGCCCAGGGAGCGCAGATGTCGGGGGTCAGAGGTGGTCAGAGGCAGTAGACACTCCCTGGCACCCCGGGGGGACTGATCTCCCAGCTCCCTGGGGCTGCGAGTCCCAGGGGGTTCAGCGAGGGTTCAGCAGGGTCCGAGACCCTGATTCCTGCGTCCCGGGGCAGGAAGCGGATTGAGCGAGAAACGGAGCCCCTCCCCGACCAGCTTGGGGATCTTCAAGGACAGGAGGTGGGGATTGTGGGGTTCTCGGTGCCCCGGCTCAACACCCCTCAACACTGGGACTGACGTCTTCTCTCCTATCTGGGTCCCTCTGCCCCTCTTTCAACCTCCATTCCTGACACGGGTGTCCCCCCCCCCCACAGCTTGTGTTCCTCTGTGTCCCTCTGCCCCCCTCCACTCTCCCTCTCTGCCAGGACTCCCTGCTCCCTCCGCCTGCCCCCTCTTCTCTGTTCCTTCTGAATACACCTCTGCGCGGGGGGAGTGTCCCTACCTGGTGACGGGCTGTGCCCAGGCTGCCCGCGCGCGCCTCCGCTGCCCGGCTCCTGCGACCACGGGACACTCAAAAGTCAAGCGAGGGGTGCGGGGCGGGACCGCCTTTTGCACCGCCCTGCCCGCGGCGCCGCCCCGGCCGCCAGGCTGCAGGAGGAGGGGCCCGCTGGCTCACACCTGGAGTCGCCCTGTCACTCAGGAGCTGGGACCTGTGAGAGGGACAGTGAGCACGTGGTTGTCCTCGCCGGGTCTCTGCTGACAGCCGTTCCCTTAGGGGGCGGAACTCCAACTGAAGCTGAAAGGATTGTGGTCGGACACCGGTGAGGACTTCCCAGTGGCCTTCACCGCAGGGCTGAGGGGCTCCAGCGGAGAAGGGGAGATTGGGGGCGGCGGAGCTCCGAGTTTTGGAGTTAAGTTTGGCAGCCGATGGGGAGAGTGTGGGCAGCAAAAATCTCTAAGAACCTCTCCAAGCCCTCAGTAATAAAAACAGTCGTGCACACCCCCATCCCCCCGTCACAGTACCCCACCCCCAGGCTTGGGGCCGCCCCAAACTGCCTCCGTTCCCAGGAATGACTGGAATCTGGAGGATAGTTGAGGACCCTGCCTTGGCGGCTCATCCTTCGAGGGGGTGGGGTGGGTGTGGTGTGGGGGCCACCTCCCTGCCCTGTAACTTTTCTTTGGGTCTGCCCTGCCCAGGCACCTTGCCAAGCACTGCCAAGCACTGCCAAGCACTGCCCCCTTTATCCACCCCGAGGGCGTCCTGCTTGGCCCCTCTCTCCCTCCAGGGCCCAAGGGCACGAGCCCTGGCAGCTGGTGCCCCCCGCAGAGCCCCCCTTCCTGCCCGGGGCATAAACCCTTCCTTTCCCTGGGCTGGCCTGGGCCCCAAACAATGGGTCTTCTGTCCCGCCCGGCCCCGCCTTCACCTTTTACCTCTCCGTTGCACAATCCCCTCTTCTAGCAGGTTGGTCCTTGGCTCTGGGACTCTAAGGGCAGGGAGGATGAAAGATGACACCTGGACAGACTCCCCGATCCCCAGGCCTGCACCTCATATCCGCCCACTGAGGGGAAGCATCAGGCATGGGGATTCCCTTTGCCCTTTCTCTGACCACTCCACACCCCTCCCCCAGCCTAGGGATGTCCTCAGCTGGCCAGCTCCTGGGGGTGGGGAGGGAACCAGGACAACGGGCATCTGTGACTGGGTTACCCCCTGCCAGGGGCACTGGGCAGGGAGTCACCCTGCTGCAGGGCATGGGGTGGGTGGGGCGCTCAGCACTAGCAGGGACACCCCAGGAGCTGGCCCATCTGCTCCTTGCAGGGACCTGGGAGGACCAAGACTAGTGGGAACCCGCAGCTCAGGGGAACAGACTTTTGCCCATCACCAGCCAGAATGCAGGCTCCCTACCTGCCACCACTTGGCTCCTTTCCCTCCAGCCACCCTTAGTCACCCACTATAGGTCTGGACACACTCCTAGCTGGGAAGTCCCTGGTTGCGTCTAACCTCCATTCATCCGGCGGCAAGGCGGGCCCCTCGGTATTGGTTGATGTCACATCCTCGGGGTGGGAGATGGAGGCTGCCCTGAGAAGAGCCTAGTCAGAGTGCCCACTTCCATGGGTCAGTTTCAGTTGGGGTCTGGGGCAGGGGGCTGGGGTGCGGCCCTGGACATCTGGCTTGTCCTTTGCCCCAAGTCACTCCCCGTGGGCCACCTGTGTGAGTCTTTGTTGTGTGCGTGTGTGTGTGTGTGCGCGCGCGTGTATCTGAATCGTTGTGTTTGTGGGGTGTGTCTGTTGCATCTGCTTGTCTCTCTGTTATGTGTGTGCCCTGCGCCTGTGTGTCTGTCTGCATGTTGCCTCTGTGTCGTTCATGCGTCTGGGTATTTGTTGGCAGCACGTTCTTTGCCAGTATGTGTGTGCTTGGGGCTCGTGTGTCTGCACGTATAGTTGTGTGACTGTCATTGTCTCTGCCCGCCTATCTACTCGGTGTCTGTCTCGCTAACGGTCTGGGTACCTGTGTGGGTGTCTGTTTGGGGGTTTGGGCGCTCTGCCCGCTCTTGCCTGTCTGTGCACAGGAGGGAGGAACACAGAGCAAGGGAAGATTGCAGAGCCAAGAGCATGGCTGGGGGGCGGGTGTCCCTTGTCATCACTGATTTTGGCACTAAGCCCACTCCAGTGGAATCTCATGACTCATTGGGTGCCTTGGCCAGAGAGGAGAGGAAAAGGGCAGGGCTGGGTGGGTGCTAGAGCCCCACTTTCCTTTTCCACGGCCCCCTTCCTTCCTGCTGCCTTATTCTCTGCCTTATTCTGCTGCAAGGGCCTGGGGGCAGAGCAACAGGTGAGGAGTCAAGCAGGACCCTCTGAGTCCTTCTGCCTTCTGGGAGGCAGGTGACCTGGGCTTGGTGGCAACTCTGTCCTCCTTCACTTGTGACCCTGGGCAGACACTATTCCTCTCTGGGCCTTGGTGCCCGGATGCTCCTTAGAGGCCCTTTCGTGCTCTTCTCTTTCTACAAAGGGAGGTGCAAGGGAAAAGGGACAGTGACATGCCTAAGGTCACACAGCAGAGCAGAGGCCCAGGCCTCCTCGCCTCTCCCCAGTCCAGTGCTTACCCATCCCCCCCAACGTTGCCACCACCACACAGCTGCTCCGGGTGCTCAGAATGGGCCATTCTCCTCCGGAGGCTGAGCGGGGCCTTCTGGGAAGACAAAGGCCCATTATGCTCCGATGAACCCAGGTCTGCAGCCAAGGGCCCACCACTTGGGGCCTGGGGCTCAGTTGCTTGGGTCCCAAATGACCCTCCGGCCGAGGCTGGGGATCCCTTGTGGCCGGCTGGGGTCAGCCGGACGTGTCCAGAGCTGAGAGCGCTGACACCCAGGTGATCCAAGCGAGGCCTCACGCTGTGCGTGTCGGGCCATGTCGCGACATGTCGGCCTTCCCGGGGCCCCTTGGACTGTGTGACGGAAAGCACTGCCCCTGGGGCTGTGTGACAGGCAGAAGGGCATGCTGCCACAGCATGCTAGAGCTCTGGCAGAGAAAGTTCCGGGCTGTGTGGAAATGCGTGGTACCACACCGTGCCATGCCTTCCCGTCGGATTTTCTCCTTCACTCAGTGAGTGTTTCTTGGTCATTTACTACGTACGTGCTGCTCATTTACTCTGGGGCCAGTGCGGGGCGCTCAGGGTGGAGCCGAACAGACACAGGCCCTTCTGCGGCCAAGTCTTCAATCTGTGGGAAGATGGACACATGAACAAGCAAACAAATATCTCCGAGTGAAGCGCTCTCTACACACACACACACACACACACACACACACACACACACACACACACACGGCCTAGGACCCTGGAGTCATGTGGTGGCCCCCAGGGCCTTGGGGAGGAGACGACAGGTGAACTGAGGCCTGAAGGACAGGAAGGGGCCTGGGGGGAGGGGGGTGTCCCAGGAAGCCGAGGGGTGCGAGCCAAGGGTCCTGAAGCCTGGCACAGGGGGGTCTGTTCGAGACACAGAAGGAAGTCCAGCGGGGCCGCATGGCAGCGACAGAGGAGGGCTGAGGGGTGAGCCGAGGCGGGGAGGGCCCCCAGGCGGGAGCGAGGAGCTTGCATTGTCTTCTGACCACCGGGGAGATGTCACTGTGGGAGTGAAATAATGTGATGCACACGAGCAAAGCCCACTCGGGCCCCTCTGGTGAGAACAGCGGACCTCGAGTCAGGGAAGTGGTTCAGAGGGACCAGGCAGGAGGCAACGGTGGGACCAGGCGAGAGGCACTGGGCCTTGAACGAGGCTGGTGGCCGTGGAGACAAGAGAAGTGGACCTATTTGAGACCTATTCTGGCGGGGGTGGGGGCGGATGGTGGTGTTGACAGGACTTACTGAAGGAGCAGCAGATGGAAGGGGTGGGAGACAGGAGGAAACGAGCAGGACTTCTGGGTTTCTAGCCCCGGGGGCTGAAGATGGCCACAAATGCTCTGCTCCTACGATGAGAGTCGTTGAGAGTCGGAGACTGTTCCCCTCCCCCGAGTTTGGGCAGCCTCAGGGACATTTGGACCTCTAGGCTACCACGTGACTTATACTGTTTCCAGCTCCAACTGGATAAGAGGGAAGGGACTGAGCCAGGGATGCTCCCATATTAGAAGCTGGACAGAGGGAGGAATGGTACAGTAGACTGAGCAGGTGTGGCCAGGGAGGGAGGAGGAAAGCCAGGTAGGAGAAGTCAGGCAGCCAATAGGAGAGAGTCTTTCAAGACAGAAGGAGAGTTGACCTGGGTGCAATGCCACCCAACGGTCGAATGAGCTGAGCACAGAGAAACATCCACTAGATTTGGCAACAGGGACTTGGGGCGACCTTGCTGAGAGCAGTCTTAGTGGAACAGGGAGGCCGGAAGCTGGACTGCAATGGGTGGGACAGCAAATGGGAGCCAGTGAATTGGAGAGAACGATCATAGGCAACTTTTCAGAAAGTTTTAGTGCAAAGGGAAGCGGAGAACGGGAGTGTTAGAAGGGAATGCGAGGTTTCATGGGAAGGTTTCGTCCAACTATGAAGGCTACAAAACCGAGTCTGTGCTGATGGTACTGACCACTAGGAGGCCAGGACCTGGTGATACAGAGCAAAGGAATTATGCCGGAGCAAAGTCCCTGATAAAGTAAGGGAGGGGGACCTAGAGCACAAAAGACAGAGCTGTTGGAGAGGCATGACCCTAGAGGCCGAAGAGAAGGGGAGATGGGTTTGTAGATTTCCCCATACAAAGACCGGGGAGGCTCCTCTGATGGTTTCCATTTTTCCAGGGGAGTGGGAGCAAGTCGCTGCCAAAGCGAGATCAGCACAGAGGAACGGGTGGAGGACCAAGGGTTAGGTGTGAAATCATTTTCACAACCAAGGCCACCGGAGAAACAGAGTAGGATTTCCAGCCGTGCAGAGCGACCATTCAGAATTACTGCCCATGAACTTGTGATGACCCTGGCCCGCCAGTCTGTTCTCTGTCAGATGTGGCAGGTGCCAAGCATAAGCCTTTCCCCCAGGTAATCCAATTATCTCAATTTACAGATGGGAAAGTCAAGACTCAGAAAGACTTTCTGGCTCCCCCACACAGCTGTTGGGGGCCGAACAGAACCTCAAGCCCAAGCCCTGAACGCCCGGACACACGCCTGTGCCCAGGCCAGATTTGTGCAAGGGCTAACTTGACTCCCATACCTGGTAGTGTTTGTGGTCTTCAGTGGTCAGTGCAAGTGGGAAAATGCCGAACAGAGAAACACAGCTTTCTCTTTTGTGTAATATTTCTGCATCACTGGTGTTGGGGCCAGTTGGGTATAAAAGGCCCCTGGCTGCTGCTTCCTTGCAAAGTCTGTGCACTGAGTAATGACCCACTGTGCCATCTTCACCGACATCTAAATTGTTAGCTTCTTGCCAACCCGAGCCAGGAGTACTGGGAGATTCGGGGTTAACAGCTCCCCCTCGTCTATCCTCCTTC